CTATTTCTTCTGAGTCCTTGGTAAAATGTTGCGGACAAAAGGTCCCTCCTCTGTTGTGATTTTGCGTCATTCAACATACTTTGTGTATTATTTGCGTCTTCCGCATGAAACGAAGTCAGCATGGTTTATTGTTTTCCTTGCCATTTTGTGGAAGTTTCTGGCACCGTCGTTCTGCATTGTATGTTATTCAACATTTGTCCGAGTTATTTACAGTGAATGAGGTGATGCAATGCAGATGGCCACCATCAACACTGAACAAGGCAGACAGGTGCTACATACCTGGCCATTTATCTCGTCTCGTTATCTCAGGTACGCAAAAAATGGACAGGTGTTACCATGACAAGACAAAAGATCCTATCGGTCAGCAGCTGGTGAGGTCAAGGGTCATCTGCACTGACCATTGTCCAGTAGTTGCTGCAAGAGGGGATTAAGTCTGATGGGGTGTGATGGTAAAGGGCTTAGCGTTATCACTTGTTTGGGGGAAAATTAGTAACGTTTAAAGCTCTGCGTGAGGACAATGAATGTCAATGGTGATAATGCTGTTTGACTTAGGAGTTAATCCAGTGTTAACTTGTTAAGAATTCTGAAATGTTTCGATTAATTGTTTGGGTAAGAAATTCATACAATGAGTAGAGAATACTGTATATGGATGAAAACATTAATAAGATCAAGATATTTTTTGTGTGTATTTTGTTTTGGGTGTGTATTTTTTTTAGTGTAAAGTTTGAATTTATTTTAAAGTGATAAGATCGTCATCGTCATCATCATCATCATCATCATCATCATCATCATCATCATCTCTTAAGAGAAACATAATTCAGACACTGCGTTTCTGTTTTGCTACATACAATTATTCCTGTTTTACCTAATACAGAAGCGTTATTTTGAACAATTAACATCATCTCAGCCTTGTTTACATTAGTGACAAGAATAAATTTCTATAAAAACCCAGAATGCTCATGTGATGTATGAACTTCAAAAGATGACCCATTTCCATCACATCTTTAGTGTGCTTATATGTCATTTCTGAGGATTAACATTTCAAGGGCATGGCGTAGTCGACCTGCTCCTCACAGATTACAGAAAGCATTCTGTTATTCATTTTATCAGCAGTAAATGTTGTGAATGACTGCACAACATACATCAGTTTCTTTGTTACAATGACATTACACTAAATTAATATGATTTGATAAACAAATATGTATATCATCATTATCATCATGACAAAAATCATCTTGATTCTTTTCAACGAAGGAAACTCTTAATAAGTTATGTCTATTCAATGCATATTTGTTTCTACGAGTTTTTACTTTCTGATAAGTTTCTGTCAAAATTATGATGTTTATTATTATTAATGAGGTGTAGTTTTGAAATACATTGTCTCTGTGTGGGAGAAAAGGTGATGATTCTCGAGTCACGTCTTGACGCACATTGTGAACACACACAGATAGCATTTGTAACTTCCCAGCATGCAATGCAACAGGATCAATATATTTCTACTACGAATTCAGCTGGAGTGAGCCGCTGGTGAGGAGTTCCAAATACCAGGGCAACCCCGTGAAGAACAGCTACAAACATATTCCTCCCGAAAGGTTCACGCTGGGCATTATCTCGATTATGACCTTTACAGGATAAATTAAAGCTAATTACATTCTAAGTTTACTTTTTTTCATGACGGGTTACAAATTTATGCTGTCATTTTGGGGAGACAAGAATATTAACTGCTAGCTTTTATAGAAACACTGAAGCTGCTTAAAGGATGCTCTTATGGTTTCTTCGTCTGTATCTTAATCTTACTTTGGTGGGTTAGGAAGGGGGTGGAGGTTTAAAGGAGAGATTATGTACAGCTGGTGGGTCGGGCAGGGTGTATGGTAGACTAACAACTAGTCTCTGAAATGAACATATTTTACTGAAAAAAGATCATAGTAAAAAAAAAAAAAATATAATGAAAAGGAGCCCTGAGACTCTCTTCATTTTCCTGAAGCTGAGGAAATCTAGACTTGCCACATTTTCTAGACTTGTGTGGGCTTTCTTGGATATATTTGCTTCAGGGTCTGTACGAGAGACTAGGTGTATGGAAGCTAGGGGTTGATGGGATTGTGTGGCTAGGCGTGTTTTAGGGGGGGATTTGGGTAGGGTAGGTTGAGAGAGGGTGTAGGTGAGAGACAGTGGGGATTGGGAATGCAAGGAGTGACAATGTTAGGATGGTGGGGGGTTGTATGGTGGACTGTTTCAAGAGAAAATGGGTAAAGGAATGAGAAAATGGATGGATATGAGAATGAGAGAAGGTGAATGGGATGAACAGTGAGATGAGGTTAGGGCGTTGGGGATGTGGGGGTAGATTGAAGTGGCAGGGGATGCAGTGGAGATAAGGGTGGGGAAAGACAGAAGGGGGAGGGGAAAGAACAGGTATGAGAGAATGGAAAACAGGGTATGAGAGGATTGGAATGGGAGTAAGGGTGGATGATCAACATGAAGATAACAAAATAGTGTAAACAGCTGTCAATCATGTGATGGTTTCAGAAACGTAAAACTCAACATTTTTACATAGTTGTAAAGGTCTACCTCAGTTTCTCAATTAGCACCACTTGGGTTAATTTGAAAATCAAGCGTAAACTGTGTGGATTTTGTACCACTTTGTGCCAAGTTTGATTTTGTACATCAATGCTAACAGCACTAATTTGGCCACACACAGGAAACATGGCTGTCTTAGGCCCTCATCTCTGGCGTACAGCGAGTGAAATTGTAATTACCCCGTGTCAAGAACAATGAGGCAATTAGCCCGGCGTTCTGCCGTAAACGAGAGTGATTCATCATAAGGGGGTTGAATTGTCACATTGGTGGGCAGTGGACCACGAATTATAACCTGGCTTGAGAGCCATGTTGAGAATGCTTATTCAGGACTAGACTCTGATATAGAGCTCGATCAGAACTCCGACTCGGAGAGACAGGATATGAAGATGCGACGTGGATCGATTTACCCAGTAGTTCTTCAGTCATGCTCCAGGAAATTCATTTGAAATGTTTTGGTAGGTTTGCCAGGGTTTTTTGGTCATAAATATAACTATATCACTTCCTATCATCGGCAAGCCAAGACGTTGTGACAGTTCAATTCTCGGGTCATGATCAGTAGTCAATACTGTGAGGTTTTTGGTCAATGCATATATTGGGCTCTAAATTAACTGAACCTTTGGAAGTCACGGTGTCTGCTGTTAGTGTTTTTTCTCTCTTTTGTTCTCTCTTTAAGGGGCGGTGGGGTAGTCTAGTGGTTAAAGTCTTTGCTTGTCACGCTGAGGAGTCCGGTTCGATTCCCCACATGGGTACAATGTGTGAAGTCCATTCCTGCCGTCATGATATTGCTAAAATATGCTAAAAGCAGCATAAAACTAAACTCACTCACTCTCTTTTAAAGAATAACACTGTTTCAGCTCAAAACCTAAATATTTTCATCTGCTGTTCACTTTGTGGATTAGAACTGACTGATACCATGTTCAGTATTGTGCTTTAGTTACTTGCTTTAGTTACTAGCTTTAGTTATTTCACATAAGGGTGGGATGGGTCCAAATTTCCTACCCGAGTACACAATCCCCTATTACCCGACCCGACCTGGGTACCCGTTATTTGATGCGGATGTCTGCGTTCCTGAGTCTTTTACATGTAAACAATAGCGTGACTATTGAGGGAGAAACAACTATTGTGATCTCGATAGTCTATTGCGACCAGCTATTGCAATACTATTACAATAGTTTTTTTCTCCGTGAATTGTCTCATTTGAAGTCATTTCCCAAATGAATGTATAGTTTATATGAAATAAAAACAAGTAGTTTCTGTCTCTTTTGAAACCCAGATTAAGTAAACAGTTAAAACAAATCTGCACTCAAAGAGTAAAAAAATACAAACCAACATATATATTTAACAAAAATAAATAACCATCCAAATACCCATTTGGATTGAGAATTTATCAACGGAAGTCAATTATTTAACTATCGATAGTCACACATACTATCGATGCATCGATAGTTTTTCATTTCTGCCATTGATTAATTGGTATCGGAGACTCAACAATTGCAATTCATTGATAGTTCGATGCACCGTTACAACCCTAGTGAACAATAAACTACTTTGCGTACTTGCAACCTATGTTACAAGTGACATGCTTATTTGTTTACATTGATATCTTGTGAGCTTATGGTGCAAATTGGGTCCACAATCTCGAACATAAGACCAAAATCTTGTAAATAAAATAATAACACATTAAATTTATTCTCCATTCATTAGTCACGTGATCAAAGCGGGTCCGGGTAATGTGATGGGTACCCGGGTCCAACTCTTTACCCACCCGTCCCGGGTATCCGGGTTACCCGTCCCAGCCCTAATTTCAGAGACTAATCATTAGTTTACATAGATATAGTTATAGAGACTGACCCAGACAATAATGAATGAAAAATACAGCCCTTGCAAATCAAAAAGAGCTCCTTTTATATACTTTAACAATTCTAACATTCTGTGTCACAATCTTCTCAATCTAGGAAATCCTGGTCTCCTTTTGTCTCATTATAAATGCCAAGCGTTCTGTGTCTTGAGTTGGTAACAATACCAACATTCATGCAGACCTGAAAGAACCTGAAGAATCGATGCCCTGAATTACACAGTAATTGACTCTTCTGGGAATCAAGGAATTAATAGTTAAGTCTGTAGCTTGATTGATGAATAATATTGAAACACTGGTGGAATATTGTATGAGTGTATTTGTTTGTAAGAATGAAGTCATTCTGACTAGGAAATATTTAGAGAACCTATGGCTTTTAGTTTTAGAATTGCAATTTGCGATAATTTCATTGAGGGGGCTTTCTATGGTTCTTAAATTCATTGCATGAAGTTCAACAGATCATAGTCATGTCCAATTTTAACAGACCAGAATTGCTTCCCTTAGCTGGGGCAGTATAAGCTTATTGTTGTGTGGTTTTACATGTTTTTATTTTTATTTGTTTTTATTTCAGACAAAGTATGCCCTTCTTGACGAGCGAGACATATCCTTGGTTGAGCAGTTTGTATTTGAGGTAAGTTTTACATCTTACAAACTCAACTGGAGCCATAATTCAATTCAATAAACATGATTGCTGAATTGCTGACAGACAAACAAAATTCAACGATGTGGTCCAGTCTTGATTGGTCTGTATTTTTGTGAGAGTTCCTTGTAGAGATGTATAATTCTTGGGTATCAGTAATCAAATCAATGAGATTGTTCTTGGTACTACTAAATAAACAAAAATATTATTTTTAGTGGGCACTGTTATTTGTCACTGTGTTTCCTCCCTTTGGGGTTTACTAGGCACCTAGAAGAGTCTTCTGATAATACACAAAATACAGTTCTACTAGTACCAGTGCTGGTGAAAATTTGAAGCTCCAGTCCCAGAGATAACAGTAACTGCTCTGGTGTGTTCCAGTTGTGGCTTTATATTCTTCCCTCCTTTTAATGTTATTTGGATATTGATCTGCACAATATTTTTATAGAAAACCTTCATGTATATATTGAAATGTAATTACATTCAAGAACAGGAATAATAACCCATATTCCTCTTGACTGAAGTGTATTTCAAACACCTGCTGAGATAACGATTGTTTTAAACCAATTTAGCTTAAAAAAGTTCATAGTAACAAATCTAAATGTGTTTTGGTCTTTTGTTACACATTGGTTAAAGACATAAAACTGCCCTAAGGTTCTTTTAGTAAGTTTCAATGATATTCTTGTTAAAGAGGTGTGAGTCTTTCTTCATCAGATATTGAATGGTAATTGGGAGACATATTTGATGCATGTCTGCCCAAATCGTGAAGGAAGTACAAGTGAAGAATGTATCAATTCACTGCATCATTTCTGCATTCCGCGCCCACTAGATCAGCATCATACCAAGGGATAAATGTGACGCCCTTGGATGTTGGCTGCCAGTTTTGCCTTGAGGTCGGCAGAGGTGGTATTTAGCTTTCTCCCTGCAATACAATTGGTACGGAAACTACGCCCCTATGAATCTGGTTTAAGTGAATGTGAGCTTTCTTGTGAGAGAGTCTTCATTCAGTATGGATGTCCCCACCCTTTGAGGTGTGTGGTTTTCATACAGTCTTGCAGCAACTCGATGGATCATCTGATGGGTTGAAGGTGGAATGGTCTTTGGTTGTTCCAGCAGATATCTCAGACTCAACTCACTGCAGTCAGTTGGATCATTATCCTACAGTTGGATCAACTTAGAGAGAACAGGATAAAGGTTAGAGTGGCACCTTCCCGGGCTGGTTGGGCTGTATCTTAAGTTGATCGGATGTAGGCTAAGCAATCGGTATATCTGTACAGTCAGTCTGAATTAGGGAGGTTGGATATTGATGAAGGAGTTTGCTGGTTTTGTTTTGGTTCAACTGTATCTGATTTTGATGGTACTGATTATCAATATTATCATAAATACATATTGGTGGTTGTTGAAATGCTTGTACTAACATTGTTCCAGATAACCTGGAAGCGTTGACATTTTGGCAAAAAAGAGCAGATCATTAGCAATTATTTGATTAAAAAATAAATGGTTGTGTCGGTTGGGAAAAAACCGAAGAGGTTGAAATTAGTGTGTCTTGAGATTGGATTGGGGTTCGCTACGGCGCATGTGTGAGATTGTGCAGACCATCATTTTTTGCTTTTCACTTTTGTTGGAAGAGTCTCGTCCTTCAAGATATAATTCATGATTTGAGAACCTGTAGTCCCTTGTGTGGGGGACTCGTTTCATCTGAGTTCTTGGTCTCAAGGAATATCACATTTTCCGTGATGGAATAAGCAGGGGGCGTTGCATTAGTTATCTTGTTTCCGAGGGAGCTTTTCTTCTGCTAAATTGTTGAGGCATTAAAACAAGAAGCAAGAAAACAGTTGACTTTAAAGTAATTAAGTTTGGCCTTGTCTGCATCTTTTCTTCATCAGATTTTAAACAGATTCTTGAGTTTTCTTTTATCCTCTCCCTGATAGCTGCTTTAATGAGATAAAAATTGTTTAAATTTCTTGTAGCACCAAATGTCAGTGGAACAGAATAGGTACCAAGTTCTAATACACGTAAGATGTTGCTGGGTATGATATGGTAGTCCAGTAGTACGGGTGTTGTCATGCTTGGGTTTGATTCCTCATTTTTTGCATTCTTTAAAATCATGCTTGGTGTACCCTTCTTCTCCCTCTCCCTCTCCCTCTCTCTCTCTCTCTCTCTTTCTCTCTCTCTGTCTCTCTTTCTGTCTGTCTCTGTCTCTCTCTCTCTTTTTGTCTCTGTCTCTCTCTCTCTCTCTCTCTCTCAGTGATCATAGCGCAGACGCGAGTTTCTTGATGGTTAGATTGTTGGTGCTGCAGATGCCATCTTTGTTGTAGACATTCACAACAACCTGCCATGATGATGAACCTGAATGACACTGTATTGAAAATGTCAACCTTCCTAAAATTGTCAATTCATTTCATTTTTTTCTTAATTCTTTTTTTGATTTCTATTTCTTATTTTGTATATACACACATAAAAATATGGATTTTATGGTTAAACTTGAAATGAAAATTTTGTGACATAAAAGCCTAGTGATTCAAATAGTTCCTCAAATTTTACTTTTAGTAAGTTGTCACTGACCGTAATTGACAGGGGATGAAGATGAACACTGAAACAGCCATTAGGGAAACACATCCTATGATAGGAAAACACTTTCACTTGTTATCTGTGGAACATAAGCAGACCAGCCAAATAAGAAGCACCCAGCCTGATATTCATCTGTGAGTTCCCCTTTAAAAAGGACTCTCACACTGAAAGCTCTTGTATGGAAGTGTTCCGTTGGTGATTGAGAGGCGCTGTGTGGAGGGAAGTCTGGGATCGCCTACTTTGGTAGCCCTGTAGTTCCAGGAAGTTTGGCCAGGTGGCTGGGCATTGTTTCCTCACATTAGTCAGATTGTGATCGGACTGTTTAACAAACACCTACAGTCGCCTTAGTGGTGGGTATAGGAGACAGACTGGCTGTAAAACCAGTGTTATTTTATATTTCTCTATGGAGAATATTTTACAAAAAGTTTTCGCAAAGATTGATTTAGAAGTGAAAACCTACATTTTCTTGTAGTATACTATTCATACTTTGCTAAGTATCAAATCGTGGATTCAACAGAAAACTATGATGTGGGCTCAAATTTGTTTTAAATATCTAAGCTTATTGTAAGCATGGTTCCTAGGTTTCAGTATGTCACTGCATCTTGTGGATCCCATACCTGCTATTGACAGGTGTTGATTATTTGTCAATGACTGGTTCCATGATTTGCAAAATGGTTGATTGGTGCCATGAAAACCATTTTTATTGTTACTCATGTATCAAGTGCATAAGGTTAGAATAAATAAATTAATTAAAAATTAAGCTTTTGCAAGATGGACAATAAATTACTAATTCAGATAAGACCATATTTCAGTAACGAGTAATTAGATAAGTCTGGCTTTGAGTACCATGTTATAAATTTGACATTTTCAATTGTTTTTAGAACCTGAATGACACTACTGACCGTTATCAAAGTATTATTGATGTTTTGTTGTGGAAATATATTTTATGTAGACAATCGTTTTTCTATCAGTTTGTGGTTGATATCTAAATGCCATCTATATATGTTCAGACAAACAGGGCGGTGGGGTAGCCTAGTGGTTAAAGCGTTGGCTTGTCACGTCGAAGACCCGGGTTCGTTTTCCCACATGGGCACAATGTGTGAAGCCCATTTCTGGTGTCCCCCGCCGTGATATTGTTGGAATATTGCTAGAAGCGGCGTAAAACTAAACTCAGTCAGTCAGTCAGTCAGACAAACATGTTACTGACAAAATTAATCCAATATATCCTGTCCTTGTTTTGACAGCCTGCGCTGGTGGCACCGTTTATAGAAGCGTTGACCAAATATGTGATTGAGGTGCATGAATATTCATACAAACGTTATTCAGAAACAGAAGATATCATATACCAGACAACTGGCAAGTCAAGAGTGGGCAAGTCCACATCACTCTGAGGATATACATCGCTGCCTACTTAATTATTCCATCAGCCTTGTTAATCTGGTTTGCCTGTAAAAGACGCATAATTGGCCTTAAGACAAGATTATGAGGTCTTGTAGGGTTAGCCATTTACATACATGGTACAGTTTGACCAACCCAGGAATTCTGGCGAGTGTAGTTTTTCTAAGATTAAGTAAAGATATTGTAGTTCAGTCAAGGTTGTTCTGCCAGGGGGTTCGTAGAAGCAATAATGTCATAAATATTGCCATGTCTTAGCATCTTGGTTGTAAACCCAACCAAGATTGGAAATTCAAATTGCAAACTCACCACTAATTTTCTCAGCAGCTCTGATAAGGATTGGATTGGACATAGATGGAACGTGCACAGTCAGACCTGTTGGGGAAGTCTGAATTAATGGACTAACGGGTGCTTCGCTTGAATCATGTAGAATTGGAGTCCACAGGGTCTGGAATTAAATCACTTGTAGAAGATTTTTGGTTTGTGCCAAAGTTGAAATCTGATAAAATTCCATTAAAGCCATACTGTATTGGAGCTTGTTTAGACGTTGATTATTTTTGTTACCATTTGATTAAAAGTTCCTTGATATGAAATGGGTGTGGAGGATATCTTTTGAAAAATGTTGATTTTTAGCAATAACGACAATTTCTCAGTCTCATATTTATGTTGTTAGGAACGTAGAGAGGGGCTGTCGTTTTCAAAACTAGCTGATGTAGATTGGTATATAATTTATTTTTTTTAAATATATGAATGTATTATTTGTTTGTTTGCAACAGTTATAATTTTACTGAGAACATTTTGCTATTTTGAATGCATTTTCAAGTAGATTTCATTACACTTAGGTGGTGGAGGAGCAAGCTAGTTAAAGCATTCCCTTGTCATGGTGTGGACACGAGTTGGATGTCCCAGATGGGTACATTGTGTGAAGCCCTTTTCTGGTGTCATTTGATCTGATATTAATGGAATATTCTTAAAAATTGCGTAAAACGTTTTTGACTCACTCACATGGAGTTCATTTTGGAATCTCAAAAGAATCTTTGATACCTGATTCTGTGATGCATGTCTATGTGCAGAGTTATCTCCCTTAGCTGTACTGTGATCCATATTTCACTCCCGCATTTTCCAATTTTGTGATCCCTTTTCATCCCAAACCAAACTGTACACATGGCTTTCAATAGCGTGGTGCACAGTTATTCCAAGCTGACCTCAATGAAAGTGAACTCCATTTCAACATGGCATCAAACTCTACTCACTCACTAACCCATTAACCGATGGCAGTGCGCCTTTAATGAAGTTGAGCACAGTATTGCTACAGTTGAACCAGTGCGGAAGGGTTGTGGTTGAGATTGATTAACGAAATCAGGCAACTGGTTTGTTTCACCAGGGATTCTGGCCTGATGAGGGACGGGCGACATTTCATCATGGGGTAATTTGATGTAGCTTGCATGAAGGGAAGCGTGCTCCAGAAATTGTGCCGGTCAGGTTTCGGAGGTGTTACTGGATGGACCGAAAGTAGTACCCAACCAGGGAGGTAAAATATAGTCCTCTTAATATAGACTGTTAGAGGACTGGCATCTAAACAGAATACAAATTTGTTGATTGATAAAGGCTGTTAGTGTTAGGAGTTTTGAACATACTTCCACGACATGCCTTGCATGTATAAGATGGACTTGAGAGATCTGAATACAAAACTGCTGTTCAATAAACAATACCTTGTATTGTCCACAATATGTGTGTGTAAGTTGTGGGTAACAATTTTGACTGGTGATAGTTTGACTGAAACAAAGTAATTCAAATATAATAATGATATTATTCAGTGTATTTTTAAATATTTATTTAGGAACAACTTGTTTTTTCTACCCAGTCTCATTTTTAGACAAAATCTGTTGATGTGGATATGCAGTCTTTTGTTTTTAATTTTTTTTAAATGTAGGTTAATATTTTCATATGAAGATACGTTTTGAGAGCATGTGATTTTGTTCTGTAGGCCATTTATAGAGAAAATTAAATGTCAAAACAATGCTGCACTTGTCACCATCGACCCGGTAGTTTTGTTATAGTGTCGTAGGGAAATATCAATATTTTCTGGTTGCAGTATCAGATTACATGTGTATGAAGTTGTATGGACGGATGCAGGGTACAGAGATTAATAACATGCAGCTCAGGCAATATTGATCCGTCCGTCTCCCTTGACTTGGACAGGGAGGAATTATTGAGGATGGATAATTTTAAAACCTCATTGTTAAACGACATACTTACATAGGTTCTGGTATTTTCTTATTTTCCATATTATCATGAGATCTATTTTATGACGACAATGATGACGATGATGATGACGATGACGATGAAGGTGGTGATGATGATGATATCTCATTTTTCATATGATCTTGAGATCTGTTTGATGATGATGATGATGATGATAATAATGGTGGTGGCGATTACGATGACGATGATGATGATGATGATGATGATGATGATGATGATGATGATGATGATGATGATGATGATGATGATGATGATGATGATGATGGTGGTGGTGGTGGTGGTGGTGGTGATGATGATGATGATGACGATGACAGCCAATGGTTTTAACATATGCAGGTTTTAACATTGAACTACTTCTACATTTGTTAAAATCGTTTGTGAATTTTCATTGAACATTTCAATCAACAAAATGACCAGTTCCTGATCTCCCAGTGAAGGCTTGTAACTATTTTTGGTTAGAACTAATTGAGAGCATATTGGATTTGGTGAAGTTCATCAATAATCAATAATTGGGAGGAAGAAACGCCTACCGATAATTTCTTTTTCTGCTTGTTGGTAATGGATACGCTTTGCTTTAATTCCCCTAACGCAGGGGTGGTTTGACACAGAAATGTTTGATTCTGCAAATTATTCGCGATTTTTATGGATAAAATCTGTTGGTTAATTTGAGTGTCAACACTTTCCTCAGTGGTTTGTTTTATACAAAACAGATATGTCTGAAGCCACTGAACAACGTCATTAACAATAAAAGTACAATTTAATGTAATTGAACAGCCACTTAAAAAAAATGAACCACCAATTTCAAAGAAAGTGACAGAATAATTGAAACTTGATATAAACTAAATATTTATTTAGTTCTAAAATCCAGCTAAAATGAACAGCTGTGAATGCATTGTGGTTGAAATATTAGCCAATGAACAATAGTTCTCATTTACAAGTCAGACAGGCGAGATGAAGATCTTAAGCTTGTGACTCAGACCACTGGGGTGACACTTGAATATTACTAACTGTTCACTATGCCAGGTGAACCTTCTCACCGAGGGAAAGTAAACAACATATCAGCATGTTATTTGTAAACAATGTGACTCATGCTGTATTTCTGTGATGAGAAAAATACTGTTATTTAAAGTTGAATACATGCAGGAATTTACTATTCTTCACAAAACTAGTGTTTGATATTAAGAATGAAAATCAAAGAGACCTTGTCCCGAGGTGAAAATTTAGGCCTCGGTAGATTAAAATACATTGCAACATGTCATAAGGAACCTAGGGCCTTCTTAATTTCGATTGGTGCCAGTAAATTGGTTTTCCTTCGAATGAAAATGACAGATGCTCAGTGTTAAAACTGTCTCCATGGTTTCATGGAGACTGAATGTTGGTCATTCTAGTCCAAGTCTCATCATACCAAGACACATTAAAACATGGTACATGTTGTTTCCCTGCCCTGTGCTTGTCACAAGGGATAAAATAAGCCAGTATAATGTATCTAGGTAGGTTTGTGTGTTAACTTTGACATAATATCTTATTGGGCTGGCACTAGAAAACTAGCATTATTCAAGGCTAGTACATGTAATCAGAGATACAGGCACAGTCAGTAAGACACAGACAGACTGACACACAAACACAGACACAGGGATCAAGACACAGAGACACAGACACACGCAGAGACAGAGACACAGGCACCGATCAAGACCCAGAGACACAGACTGACACACAGGCACACAGACACAGACACATGCATGAACATTGCTTTATGTTGGCCAAGTGTAATTATCTTGAACGTGATGCGATGTGAAACCCATTTCACCTCGTTACATGCAGGGTGTAATTTACATGATTAATGATCCACTCTAAACACAATGTCACAGGTAACGTGCAAACCATGTACAAGTTGTCAGGATAGGTAAAAGATAATGTTTTATTTTCCAGAAATTGTTTTTCATTTGATTAGTACAGTCACATGTAATGTCATCTGACTTTGTGTGCTGGCGATTAGGTGCCTGACTCTGAGGGTGTGGGTTCGAATCCCGGATGGGACTCAACCCCAAAAGTACTAAAATCTGTACTTTACTAAGAAAGTGTAATCCCAAATATAACATACGTTACACATGTAATGTCGTCAAAAGCAAAATGATCCAAGGTTATAGAACCACAGACACAAATATAATGTTGTTTTGCCTGTTATGAATAGACAGCTGGAATACTTGATGCGTAATGCTTATAAAGACTGAGTTAGATAAAATCTAACAGTGCATCTGGAATTTTTTGCCTTCCAGGGAAAGGCAATAGAAAAATAACAACATTGATAAATATTCATTTGAACAGCTTGTTCATAATGAAATCACTTTTCCAATATTTCCCACATCAGGAAGATTTCATGGTAATTTTGCGCTTATGAGTCATGATAAGGGAAATATTCGGTATTGGAAGCATTTTGCCGCCATTAGTACAGGTGTCTGGTGGAACGGACCGGTGGGTCCCATGTGTGGCACATCGAGGGCGTGGTGTGGCTTGCACTGAGCTCACTGGTGTGTCTAAGTGACCTCACCTGGGACATATCCCTGTTTCAATGTACACTGACTGATAACAAGCGAAACAAGATACCTCTACACGTTTTCCTTGTTGATTACAGAATGTACATTTATGTTTGCATTGAAAGGACTGTTTATTTTCGTGTATATATTACGTCTCTTTTAGAAAACCCCAAAACTTGCATCTTGGACCATTTAGGGTCTAGTGGTCTTGAGATGGAGTTGATATCATATCGATTCCACTACTTTTATTCACCGAGGGTATATTTTGGTCTAACGTAAAATAATTGTTTGAAGGTTGGGCTATCGCTTAAATGTGGTATTTTTTTTATTATCAGTGAAGACATTTTGTTGGCATTTCTGTGTAATATAAAATATACATTTTATGCTTTTAGGAAATGTTTGGATGCATTGTAATATTAGCCAATTAAAATAAACATATAACAATCTTTCTCTCATTTCCATTCGAACACACATGTGAGATTTTAAGCTTGTCAGTCCAACCACTTTGTTCTCAGCTACAAGCTGGAAAAGGTCGCCATCTTGAAATCTTGAACATTGTTTTCTTTGTTGGAACATATATGCTTTTAATGATAACGAACTGACAGGAACTTATATGCTAGAGTATATAAATAAACTTTCTTTACTTTCAGGCCAGAGTGGAAGTGGATCGCGATGGCAACGGAGCAAAGATCTATGCATATGCTTACGATATTGTTAAGGGTCGGAGTTCGGGACAGTATCTGCATGAATTATTATGGTAAGCAAGCAGGAAGTTTTGTCACTTGTAAACTTGGAATAAAACAAGGAATTTTGTAGCTACAGGGTAAAGATTGATAAAATGAATTACCATATTTGCCATTTTAAACGCCCCAATCATCTTCTGGACCATTCTGTATGTTGTGTTTATAGACATTTATCGACATTCTGAGCCTGACATGGCACATGATAGTCTATATTTTCTTGTACATACAGCAGATTTTATCAGGTAACACTGCAGTGTGGGAAGAGTGTGTAACTGTCTCGTTACTATTTCCCATTAAATGTTTTAGTTTCCTGAATGTTTTAGCTAAGTTATTTTGACTGTCCATGTATAAGATCCGTGTTTATTAAGGACCGTTCTGACAATTTTAACTTGTTTATTGTTAAATAAGCCCCTACCTGTGAAGGTCCGGGTTAGAATTGGTCTTCAGCAACCCATGCTTGTCGTAAGAGGCGACTAAAGGGATCGGGTGGTCAGGCTCGCTGACTGGGTTGACACATGTCATCATATCCCAATTGCGCAGTATGATGCTCATGCTGTTGATCACTGGATTGTCTGGTCCAGACTCGATTATTTACAGACTGCTGTCATATAGCTGGAATATTGCTGAGTGCGGCGTTAAACAACAATCAATCAATCAATTTAATAAGCCCCACAACTCCCTTTGTCAATTTTCTAAGCACCTGAGGTGTTTATTGTGGTAAATACGTCTCAGGAAATGACTTGTTAAATTTGCTGTCAAACTGGAGGAACCTTCGATTGATTTTATATATTGATTTTGTTCCTATTTATATCTATGTTCCTTATCTCCCACCCATCTTGATGTGAAATATCGGCTCGTCACGCCAAAGACCCGGGTTCGATTCCCCACATGGGCACAATGTGTGAAGCCCATTTCTAGTGTCCCCCGCCGTGATATTGCTGGAATATTGCTAAAAGCGGCGTAAAACTAAACTCAGTCAGTCAGTTGATGTGAAATAAAAAATTTCCTGTCCCAATTTTCCCTGCTGATGCATGATGGGAACAATAATACTCTTAACCTTGCGTTAATAAAAAACCCAGGTCAACTTGAGCTTTCTTCATCCATATTTATGTAAAAAATGTTTGCTGAAGCAACATGACTCGATGTACTTCAAAAATCAATTTAAGAACTATTACCAAGTGATCTAAATTTTAAAATTTTAAATAGCTTACGCAGTTAGTGAAAACATTTAAATTTCGTAATATATGTTTCTATTTATTCCGCCCACCCGCCCTCCAGCTGGTTCAGGTTGCAGATGCTCGTACATGTGAATCTTTGGGTGGTGTTTCTTGTCAATAAGCTGCAGATGTTCAATTGATCAATGGAGTGTTTAGTACTTGAGGCGATACATTTCTGTTTTTAGATTCACATCATTTTTCAGTTTTTATTTCACTTGTTAAAAATCAAAACACATCAAACTCTTTTCTTATTTTTCCATCACATTATTTAATTTCATGACATATTTTACAGATTTTCAAAGAAGTTTATTTTCTATCCATCTACCTGTATATATTTATATGTTTTGGGGGTAAATTTTCAAATTTAAAATTTGACTTATATTTTCACCATGGAATTGTTTGCTCTGGTCATTAGGTTTCGAACCCACCAATGTATATATTGTTGCTAAATCACACAATCTGATTGAGGGAATGCTAAATATGATATCCATTCTTGTTACAGGAACGCACAGAGATTGAGGTGCTAGCACATGGCTACAAAGTTGTAGCACATGGCTACAAAGTTGTACATAAAAATGGCGTGACTGTTGACAATCGCATGGAAAACCTCATTCTTGTGTCCTCCAAATGCTCAACCCCTTACTTAGAGGAACCTTCCAACAAGAACCGAGAACAGAGCTTGTACTGGATAGCAGTCCAACAGCTACAGGGAGACCCCTTAGAAGTGAGGAGAACGGACAGCAGAAATATTTAAGCAAGCTGTCGTTGCCTACATTTACACATATGTGTAGTATCTTGTTTCAGAGGCCATGAATTGTTCTTTCATTTGACATATGTCAGAATGGGCTTTACTTGGATTTTGGTGTAATGAACATTTTTATTTTAATTCTTACTTGTCATAATGTTCTTGCAGGGGAGGTGGGGTAGCCTAGTGGTTAAAGCGTTGGCTCGTCACGCCAAAGACCCGGGTTCGAATCCCCACATGGGTACAATGAGTGAAGCCCATTTCTGGTGTCCCCCGCCGTGATGTTGCTGGAATATTGCTAAAAGCGGCGTAAAACTAAACTCAATCAGTCAGTAATGTTCTTACAAATTTGTGTATGCGGGCCTGTGTGGACCATCTGTTCTTATCATAAACCTGACAAATGTGTGTGAACTGGCTGATGTGTGTGTCATCATGTGTGTCATCATGCCCTGGCAGACTCGGAGCTGACTGACAAGTGTGTAAACCGTGCTCTGATCATAGAATTCATATTTTGTGCAGAGTTGTTTCCCCTTATCTGTTGGTTGATATATGAATACTGACTTTTGTGATGACTTTGTTTCAGCACTTCCCAGAGCCAGTCTACAACAGATATTACAACTCCAATGGGGAAATTGTAGAAAGTGAAGGTATGGCCAGTCTCATTAACTGTCACAACAGACAGAATGTGAATCTTGTACATGACTGAACTAGTCACAGGGATTGTACTCAATTCATTCTGTACTTGACCGACCTTGTCATGGGGATTGTAGCGACCTCGTTCTCAACTTGACCGACCTAGTCATGTGGATTGTGGTGAATCCATTATGTACTTGACCAACCTTGTCATGGGGATTGTGGTGAATCCATTATGTACATGACCGACCTTGTCATGGGGATTGTGGTGAATCCATTATGTACTTGACCGACCTTGTCATGGGGATTGTGGTGAATGCATTATGTACTTGACCGACCTCGTCATGGGGATTGTTGTGAATCCATTATGTACTTGACCGACCTTGTCATGGGGATTGTTGTCAATCCATTATGTATGAATCCATTATGTACTTGACCGACCTTGTCATGGGGATTGTGGTGAATCCATTATGTACTTGACCGACCTTGTCATGGGGATTGTGGTGAATCCATTATGTACTTGACCGACCTTGTCATGGGGATTGTGGTGAATCCATTATGTACTTGACCGACCTTGTCATGGGGATTGTGGTGAATCCATTATATACTTGACCGACCTAGTCATGTGGATTGTGGTGACCTCATTCTATACTTGACCGACCTAGTCATGTGGATTGTGGTGACCTCATTCTGGACTTGACCGACCTAGTCATGGGGGTTGTAGTGACCTCATTCTGTATGTTCTGTGTTTGTTTACACACAGCTGTGTGTCCTATGAGCACCAGTACCGTCTGTAACTGTCCTGTGTATGTTCCAGAAGACAGCTGTGTGTACTACGAGTGCCACTACCTGCCCTGCACAAACATGGAGAAAGAGATCAGGGAATTCAGTATATGCGGCAGATGCCAGGAAGTCAGGTAACTCCACATCCATTTAACTCTTAATCCCTTCCTCCCTTCAACCATTGACCAAATAGCTCCTAGCCCCTTCCTCCCTTCAACCATCAACCAAACAGCTCTGAGCCCCTTCCTCCCTTCAACCATCAACCAAACAGCTCTGAGCCCCTTCCTCCCTTCAACCATTGACCAAATAGCCCTGGAACACCTTCATCCCTTCAACCATTGACCAAATAGCTCCAAGCCCCTTCCTCCCTTCAACCATTGAAAACACCTTCAGCCCTTCAACCATTGACCAAATAGCTCAAGCCCCTTCCTCCCTTCAACCATTGACCAAATAGCCCTGGAATACACCTTCATCCCTTCAACCATTGACCAAATAGCTCATCCCTCACTTGACACCATTCAACCATTGACAAATAGCTTCATCCCTTCAACCATTGACAAATAGCCCTGGAACTCCTTCATCCTTCAACCATTGACCAAATGGCTCAACCATTGACCAAATAGTGCTCATCCTTCAACCATTGACAAATAGCCCTGGAACTCCTTCATCCCTTCAACCATTGACCAAATAGCTCCAAGCCCCTTCCTCCCTTCAACCATTGACCAAATAGCCCTGGAACTCCTTCATCCCTTCAACCATTGACAAATAGCCCTCCTTCATCCTTCAATCATGGAACTCCTTCATCCCTTCAATCATTGACCAAATAGCCCTGGCCCTGGAACTCCTTCATCCCTTCAACCATTGACAAATAGCCCTGGAACTCCTTCATCCCTTCAACCATTGACCAAATAGCCCTGGAACTCCTTCATCCCTTCAATCATTGACCAAATAGCCCTGGAGCCCCTTCATCCCTTCAATCATTGACAAATAGCCCTGGAACTCCTTCATCCCTTCAACCATTGACCAAATAGCCCTGGAGCACCTTCATCCCTTCAACCATTGACCAAATAGCCCTGGAGCCCCTTCATCCCTTCAACCATTGACCAAATAGCCCTGGAGCCCCTTCCTTCAACCATTCATCCCCTGGAACTCCTTCATCCCTTCAACCATTGACCAAATATGCCCTGGAAGTCCCTTTTCATCCCTTCAACCATTGACCAAATAGCTCTGAGCCCCTTCATCCCTTCAACCATTGACAAATAGCCCTGGAACTCCTTCATCCTTTCAACCATTGACCAAATAGCTCCAAGTCCCTTTTCCCTTCAACCATTGACCAAATAGCTCTGAGCCGCTTCATCCATTCAACCACCAAATAGCTGTGAACCCAGTTATTCCTTCATCACTCGCTGCAAGTGTATTGAATTATTTTTAAAACAAAAATTGCATTGTTTTGAATATATGTGCCAGTATCTTCATACTCATGATCTGGCGAAATATTATTAAATCTTTTTTTTGTTGATTTTTAGTTTCACATTTTTTATTTTTTCATGACAAATTAAATTTCAATGAAGGATAGTGCTCGTTTCCAGAACTAAAGTCATAAACCCTTGATTATTACTCAATGGAACACTGAAAGGAATGTTAAAAATTGTGAATCTTTATTAAATGAATGCAGATTTTACTTATTTTTGTGTTGTATCAGTACGAGTTTGTTGTTGGAAAACAAGAATTTTTCTATTATTTTAACATTTCTTTGTTTGTTTTTAACAGGTATTGCGGAACCTACTGCCAGCAAAGGGACTGGCCAGTTCATAAACGATACTGTCGAGAACGACGACATTTATTCATATCGGAGCGACCTCCAGATCGATAGCTTTACCCCTCATGTCACAATTCCATCATCTTCGCTATATTCCATTGTCATTGTGTTTCTACGTCCCATTGTACATAAACAACAACTCACCTTTTTGGTGTTTTTATAATGTAGGAGAGTGATAGTGATTTGAGAGAAAGAAATTTTTACAAAGCTGTAAGAGTTATCTCCCCTGAACTTTGCAAGTTGTCCCTTACAACATACACCAAGATGCTGTGGTGGTGTTGTGAACCTTAAGTGCAGTGTTTAGATTGTCATGATATTCTGAATATTATTTGTCAATCTGAGAGTTGACTGAGTGTTAAGATTGATGGAATATTTGTTTGATTGTTACGTGAAGAAGTGCATAATATCTGTCACAGATGTCTATCACTTGAAAGATTTTTAGCACTACACATTCCAAGCTGGGTTGTCATGACTACGATTCCTTGTTATAGTTTTCACTTTGCTGTGAATGCTAGTATTTAGTTGTGAAAGTAATGCTGTCGTTTCAGGCCTTTGTTTATGAATCTCACCGACTCTTTTTAAACAAAACCAAACCAGGATTCTATTGTTTTGATGGTTGTTGTTTATACATGTTAAAAATCCCAACAAAATCCTTGAAATAACCACAGCATTATTTTTGTTTTCTTTTTCCTATATTATTTGTGATGCATGGAACTGAAAAGAAATCAGCATGGATGCTGGTTAAGTTTAATCCCTATTTGAGTAGTTTTGTGCCTTTTTGTTGAAAAAAAGAGTTGATATTTTCGGCTTTGCTAGTTTTGCACCCATGACATTCCTTTCAGTATAACCAAAGATGTGTTTATGAAGATATGCAAGTTGTTTGAAGGGAGATAACTCTCAAGGCTTCAGTGTGCATAACATTTAATCTTGACATGTCCGTTCCTTATACACTGAACAGACTGATTGAACCATAAATATGTATTCATCATGTATTAGATTTTTCTTGGAACAATGGGAAAAACTGACTTGAAAAGGAAGGAGGTTCCCCATATCTGTTGTGATTTCATCACATTTGTTCAGGGCAGGTATTTTATTAAAAGATATATGCATGAAAACATGTTTCAGAGTCACAATCTCCCTTGCAATTTTACGAATGTTTTACCCCTATCTCTAGCCTGTTTGTTGTGTCGCTCCCAATACAGTAATACAGCCCAATGATCTCTCACTATCTAGTCCAGAGAGATATTTTGAGAGTTATTTAGCTGATTCTTCTGATGTCACAAGTGTTTTTCAACATTTTATGTCTTTCAAATTCTTTTTCAACAAAGTTTTCAGTCTTCTGTGTCATTGGGTCTTCTGCCAAGAGTTATGTCCCTTGCAACAAGAGTTATGTCCCTTTGTTCCATTAAAAATACCTTTGATTGTGCAATATATTGCTTGATGCCATAGAACTCGCATAGTTGTGAAAATAATCACTTCAATCTAGTCTTTGTTTGTCCACATCTGATCATTGTTTTGCCCCATTGTCTTAGAATGGGATGTTCTGCTTCAAAGGATGGATGATACCATTTTCTTATGAAGGGTAGAAGGCCTTTGCTTTAAATTGTTTTGACTGTACCTAGTCTAATATCTATTGCACCCAATGGTATGATCAACAAGATCTCATGAACTTCAAGTATCTGTTTTAAATATTTAAAAACGTGAAAGTCGCCTGTAGATAAGGACAGTGGTATATGACTAGCCATCGCTGCTGTTATTTTTTTTATCAGAATCATATAAAAACTGTTGGCAGTGAGTTTATAATAAAGCTCAAGCATTAAATTTTAGTATAAACATGACACTTTGTGACAAAAATTCTGCCAAACAAGAGACACAGGTAGGCAATTGTTTTAACTCTGAATTGAAATCTGAAAAACATAGAAATACAGTTTGAAACCGTTGGGGCTTATGCCATCTGAAAGACAATCTGACTTTGATATTTATTTATTTATTTAATTTTTTGTGTCATTTTGAAAAACAGCCCACAGGAATCTTTTGACTTTAATGTCTGATAAATAAGTTATCAGTTTGTCGTGGCTTAATGCATGTAAACGAATCTCGGTTATATTATGATCCGTGTAGTGTTTCAAAGATTACCACTAGCGAAATATTTTGTAACTCATCACTGTCAACGTTTTGTTATTTTTCCAGTATTGAGTGCTAATTATGTTTTAATTTATCTAGATTATTTATGTTGCAACTATTGATCACAGCAATATAGTATATGTCTAAAATGTCTCCACATCGGAACTTGTCCCCAGAAAGTATGTATGTAAGTAAGTTAATTGCTACTTCCTAAGAGCCTATCATCTCCACATGTTTCTATGAAACATGCATTCGTAACTACTCGTCTCTTTCCGTGACCTACAAGAAGACTCACACCTGTATAGTACGCCATTATTGCCAAGAATTGTGGCAAACCCGAAAATCGCCTGTAGTAAATTGTGAATGAGGTCAAACAGCTTCTTCGTGATTATCAATTTTCATTATTATTTACGTGATTCTAAAATGATCTTGTTACTGATATTTGTTAACGACATAAGAAACTTATTTAAAGTGACTTTCGTGTTGTATTATAAATTATCTTGTTACTGATATTTGTTAACGACATAAGAAACTTATTTAAAGTGACTTTCGTGTTGTATTATAAATTTCTGGGAGTAGCCAGGGAATGAATGAGTTGCCGGAAATGACACGAGTAGTTACGAATGTTTACATGAGCGATCAGCTGCTACCAATGTGTGTTACTATGAATAGGCTGGGATGGACAATCACGATATGAATGAACCACTTTCAGAACTGTTACTGACCCTAAAATACTTACTTGAACATTTTTTGTTATTTTGTTGGCATTTGCTTACATTAACTGAATAGGTTAAGTGTAATAGTAGTTAAAAAAATCTTGTTCTTACTTTCAAGTTTTTGAAATACATATTTACTGGATCTGTCTCATACCATAATCAATGTTACTCACACCTTCGGAATTTGACGTAAAGGTCATGGAGAATTGTTATTGTAATGTCGCATCTATTGAGAACATTTCTTTAATGTAATTAATTTATTTTTTGGTCAGTATAGCATCACATCATATTCGCTGTACTAAGCATCCTGCTGCAAAAGAAACAGATTTCCCAACCAGGTAGCAAGCAAACGTATCGGTACTTGACATTTATATTTTCTGGTGGATTATTACGGAGTTTTTACAGAGTGAAGGAGGGGTATCAAATATTGAGAATTTCACAGTGACTATTATTGAAAAAGTTCGTAATTCATTGACATTTGAACTAGTTTTTAGCTGTTCCACTTGATACTAGATAACATCACCAGTGTACGGTTTTACTGAGTGCATGTCAATTTTCTGTGTGACTGGGGAGCTTATTATGATGAATATGGCAACTACTGATGATAAACCAACTGACTAAATTCAGGACATGACAATATTATTTAGGGTTTTGTTATAAAATAATGTATTTTTCTGAAAAATTTTAATCCTTGTCTTGCATTGGTGAAATAAGACTGTAAGCCGGACTACTTTCAGTGTTCCTCAGTGACAATATGGTTGTAGACACAGACTTGTGAAGATCACTACCAAATGCAGGATGAGCACAAACATTATCATTTCTGGTCATTGATTATGGTATATGATTTTTCCAATAAAAATTAAGGGGGCTCATTGATCTATGGCCAGGTCAGTATTTTTCTTGTTTTGAGATCTGTTGCCAAAAAATGTTTTTAAAGTTTTTGATTGATAAAATATTAATTTTGTGAATTGTTTTATTTTATGGTTTGTATTTTCAGGACTTGATATCAACTGTGACAACATTTCTGTATGAAATTATAACAAAATGTTATTTTTTAAATATTACTCCTGTTTCTTGATGTGTTGATGAAAAATATTCGGTATAACAAGAAACATGATTGACCTGGCCATGTGTTTTGTCATGATAGAGGAGGCCATATTGGAAGTGTTAATTTAAGAGATCATTGAAATTCCTATTTTATGTAAATCCCTCCATTGGATGATGATGATGTTTTTAACATATTGTTTATTGTTCATTCCCTTGAAACTGATATATTCCAGTGTTAGATCAGGGTTTGCAAATATTTTAGAATCCACTGCCTAATATATGTTAAGTGTATACAGAGTGGAATCGGAAGATTCTTCAGTCGGTGTCATTCCAGTGTTTATCATCCAAGTGTCATAAGCCACTCGCTAACTACTTCAGGGGTGGAAATAACTTTACAATTGCTAGTGTACTCCGGTACATGTAAAATCACTTGCCTTGATAATTTTTCCACTATACCGGATATTTCTTGTTGATTTTTTAAATAAACAACATAATTAACGTTCGAAAGTCAACTGGACACCGGTACAGTGTGACATACAAATTTGCTTGCCCAACAGAAAAAGCACTGGACTCGGACGTCGGGCAATGGGTTATTTCCACCCCTGTACTTGACCATGTTAGAGAAGGTTCATTAGCACCAATATGACCTCATCATGGTGTCTGATAGATGATGATGATGATGATGATGATGATGATGATGATGATGATGATATGATTATGATTGTTAAGGCACAGAAGTTGCAATGGTGACCCTCATATACAATACATTATGAGCAGCTTTGTTGATAAATATAATTTATTACTAGTATTGAAAACAGCTGTTATTTGCTTCAGTCAGAGTTTAAGGTCTTGAGAAGTCATCGGATCCAATAATGCATGTTTGTGATTTTGTTACAATGGTGAAATTCAATTTGTTCACACTGCTGGAAGTTTCAAAGCAAATTCTCAAAAGTGTGTGTAATTAAAAAAGGTAAATAAGTCCATACAAATAACATCAATACCATCCATATTTTTATAATTCATAATTTGTATGACCATAATTTGCATTTCATTTGCATACTGCACCATTTAAATCATTAATGCATGTGTGTTTTTAAGAAGCTGAGTATGCATTTGAACTGATTTGTATATTTAGAAACACGACAATGTTGACATATAGTTTGTATGTAGTTACGTGATGCCCAGTACCATTATGCATGATATGTACGTGTAATTAGCACATGTCAATAACATGTCTCTTTCAGGGGGGAACGGTCAGTCAGCTGGCTTATTGCTATTGTTTTCCTTTAACATTGTGATAGGTAGCAGTAGCTGGACAAACATCCTGTCCTGTAGGTACAGCTGCAAGTATGACATTAAGTATTGACTTTGATTGTTTAAGAAATAAATACTTTTATATTCTTTTCTAATTACTACACAATCTGTTTAGCACTAAGGTCACACTGGCTTATTTTCATGCTTTTTTAAGATTGTCTTGGTACAAATGTCACGAGGTATATTGTTTTGTTTTGATTAGGTTAATTTTCGCTTTATTGAACAAGACATTAAACTAAAAAACAAAGTGTTTTTCAATGTTTATCAATTAACAGCTCAGTTCAGATTTTCTTTATAGGAGGTTCTAAGCAATAAATGGATCTTTGCCTATGCATAAATGGTCATTTTAATGAAATTTGTATGTGAAGATCACAAATGATTGAGAATCTTGAAATATAATGTCTTATGATGATCTGCGTTATAAACTGCAGCTTGATAGACTGCGTCAGTTTCACTGGTTCTGAAATCGACATGTTATTGACGATGTATTCACCTCTACTCACATTCCTAACAGCAGTTACGATTTATCTGTCTGCATTGACAGTTTGTTACTAACATTTGTTGTTTTCTAATTATTTCTTTATCAAAGTATGGGCTTTGAACACTCGGCATCACACTCCCATGAGAGAAAAGTGTACATTTAATCTGGGGCCTGAAACTTGGGTTGTCTGTGTAGACACCCAAAGATTGACATGACAGTGACGGAACATGGCCAACATCATTTCACAAAAATACATTTTGTATTAGTCACGCTGTCATGTCTCAAAGCCTGATACATTCCACATTGTCATGGCCTGAAGAAAATTGGGTTTTGATGATGTTCTCTATGTTTCTCATGAAATTAAGAATTGGTAAAATACTTTGAAAATACATCATGAGTATATGCAGTGTATGAAGTAAGGCCCGTCCGACGGACTAGATTTCTGACGGACGGTCTAAATTTACAGCTAATCAGCCTCATGGTCTGGTAAAGATTTTAGATGTTCCATACAAGTGAGTAAATTCACCATATCTTGGTGTCTGGTCTGGTTAAATCTATTTTGGGCTGGTAACATTTTGAAGTTACCAGCCCTGATGTCTGGCTGGGTTTTGGGATTATTTCATACACTGGTATATGTTACACATTTCCCCATAATTCGACTCTTTTTGAGTCCACAACATGAACAATTGAAATGGAAAATAATTATTTCTTCATATGAATACATTTCAGCCTTAAAAATCTTTTCTTATTTCTTAAATTATGCATATATTTATGTGTCAAGAAGGGCCCATATCCCAGGTGGTAGTGTAATCGCCATATTTCATTGGAGTGTTATGCCAGTGGTGACACCAGCTGTAGTCATGTTGATAGTTGTCCGTTCTACGTTTGTGTTGATTTTGGAGTAGTTTTTTACAGTATTTATTATTTATTTTCACTATGAATATATATTTACCAAATACAACATTTAGGTGTGTTGCTAGTCCGCTCCACTTGGTCGTGTGAAAGACCTAGATCGTGAGTGTAAGTTTGGTTTGGAGATAGATAACATATTTCATGTGTGCAAGAGACAATGATTCTGAATTTTTTTAATCACATTTGTCAGTTTTGGTGCTGGGGAAAAACTCATCACTGAACAAGAGAATTCTTGAGTTAGACTTTGAGACAAGAGGTTACAATTGTCCTGGATTTGTAATTAATTGATGGGACAGTTTCTGGGATTTGTAATTAATCAATGATATGTGATTCGTTACTAAAGAGTCAATTCTTTCAGATTTTAAAAAGCTTTCAACTGTATTGTCTTAATGACTGAATGAAGATTGGCCCCCAATTTATTTAAACAGTTGAACAATTTTGGAAATGCTGCATGTTTCCTTAAAACATTTAAACATTTCGCACACAATAAGATATCAGGTTCAAGTGAGCGATAGTTTAGTTTTACGTCGCACTCAGCAATTTTCCAGCTATATGGTGGCGGTCTGTAAATAATCGAATCTAGACCAGACAATCCAGTTATCAACATCATGAGCATCGGTCTTCACAATTAGTATACGATGACATGTGTCAACCAAGTCAACGAGCCTGACCACCTGATCCCATTAGTCACCTCTTATGACAAGCATGGGTTACTGAAGATCAATTGTAACCAGGCTCTTCACGGGATCAGGTTCAAGAGGAAAGGCATGATATGTTAGGCTTTTTAAAGTGACACATAAAGTGACTGTTCTAAATGTTCTTGGTTGATTAATAGACTTTAAAAATGAAACTATGAAAATCTCATAAAGTTAG